TATATAAAGGAACATCATGCGAAATTAGATATAGAGGTCTCTCTAATTTAAACTTGAAATGCAATCGTTTATTACCTGTTGAATGGAGGAAGAGAGATGTTTCTGATAAGTTGTCATTTTGCTATCGGAAAAAGTAATTAAACTTAAAGAAAATTAAATTGCAATATAATAAAGGAAATGGAATGCAAAAGAAAGGCAGAGAAAAAAATTTAAAAAAATAGATAACGTATCATTTATCATATCATTTTCCCTACCCAAAATTTTCCCTTTTTTCCTTCTTTAATTTTTCTAACTATTGCATTCTATTTCTTTCACTATATTGTAATTGTTTAATTTTAATTCAATTTTTTCTTAAATCTAATAATCTTTTAAATGATATGATATGATATGATATGATAATAGAGAATGAAATATATAATAAATTAATTTTTTTTTTAAATATAATAATCTATTTAATGATTATTATCAAGAATAAAATATATATAATTTAATTTTTTTGATATAAATTTTACATTTTTATATTTTTATTTTTATATATAACTTTTATATTTATATATATAATTTAATTCTAATCTATTCAATGTACAGATGATGAAGTATATAAGTACAAGTTTATTGATAAAAATAATCTATTCAACGTATATATAATGAAATATATAAATATAGATTTGCTAATGGAAAATTATATTTTGTAGTTTAATTTCTGTAATGAACAATTTAGGTTAATATTTTATAGTTTAATTTTTTATATTAAATGAATTTTGGTAAACAAAAGTGTTTTAAATGATAATAAATTATTTTCTCACATCATTGCTTTAGTGCAATATTATGATACGATGATGACAGACGAATAAATGAAATTATATATGTATGTATGTATATATATATATATATATTGCATATAAGGTAAGAGATGGAAGTAATAAATTTTAGGAAAAGCAAAACAAATAATGCTGTCTTATGATAGACAAAACTAAACCAGTAAGTCATTGCTCTCACTCACATGCATTATCCTTTTACTAACTAGTTTTTGAAGGGTTGTTAAAAGTATTGGATGAAATGAAAAGATGAAATTTACGAGTAGTTTAATTTTTGTTGCGTATGAAATGATTGAGGGATAGAAGTGATGCGATAGTCTCTCTCTTTCTCTCTCTTTCTCTCTCTCTCTCTCTCTTTTTTCATACTTCAATAAATGAATCAAATAATTTCAATTTCATGTTTATTTGAAAAAATTAAACTTATGAAAATAAACAAGATAATTTTTAAATAAGAGGAATAGAGAGGATGAACGGAAGAAGGAAAATGATACAAAACAAGTTCAAAATTTAATTGTTCCAAAAAAATAGTAGAAAATGATGTTTAATGGAAAAAAAATTATAAAATTCAATTCTATGCAATTAGCCTCTTCAATAAAATTCTCATTATATTATTTTATATTATACATGTAATGTAATATAATACAAAATATAATAAAGGAAGAATTTTTATTGGAATTATTTTTAGTGATTAGCGTTGTTTTAACTTTAGTCCAAAATAATTATCTAATTTGCTCATTGATACTAATTAATTATCTCTCATTAATACTAATTAATTATCAATTTTTTTTGTTAATTGGAAATGTTTTAAATTTGCATTAAACAACTAATCAATTGCAATCGGTAATTATGCTATTTTAAATTTTATATTAAACAATTTTTGTTCAATTTTATTTGGCAATTCGTATTATTTAAATTCTTGCATTGAAAATTCAATTTTTCTATAATAAAATTGGGAACTATTTGTTTAGCAAAATTATTTTAACTATTTCATTACTCTCTTTCTATTTAATAAATATCTTCGATTTTACTTCTTTTTGAAAATTTTATTAAGTATTCAATATATTCGAATGCTCAATATTTAATGAATATTCATTAAATTTTATTAAGTATTCAATTAAGTAATCGGTTAATTATTCAAAGTATTAATATTAAACTCAGAATTGCTGTAGCATTCTTGAAAGAGAAGGCTACAATTTTTTTCCATTCATATATCGCTTTTAATTTTATTTAATATTCAATATATCTATGTATTTAATATTCAATGAATATCCATCTAAATTTTATTAAGTATTCAATTAAATATTCAGTAAATTATATTAAGTAATCGATCAATTATTCAAAGTATTAATATTAAATTCAGAATTGCAGTAGCATTCTTGAAAGATAAAGGTGTAATTTTTTCTCCATATCAAATATCACTTTCAATATGAGCATATTTTTACCAACTTATTTCTTCAATGATCGGAAAAATAAAGAAGGCAGATGGCACGTAAATTTACTGTTAAATGAATTATTTAAATTTTTTAATTACTATAGAGTTTTAAATTTTAATTACTTTAATAGTTATAAACTTTAATTATTAAACTGGTAAAATTCATGAAATATTTGAAACTAAAATAATACGAAAACTTCGTTTTGCCTACAAATGTTTGTGTTGTTACCAAAAAACTGACTGTATCATTTTTTTTAAATTCCTTACAGCTTATTAACTTTCCAAAAATTTCTTTTAAATATCTCAAAAATTGCAAATTGCATGAATTGATATTACCATAGTGAATTTGCAGTAATTTATTGAATTTCGAGAAATTCAATTTGTTAAACTTCTAACTATTAAAATTTGAGCATTGTAAAAATAAGATAAATTGATATCGCTATAGCATAGATGGTTAAAAGTATCGAATTATCATATCATCTCATTACGGATTTGTCTTATTTGATCATCATGCCAAATAATTGAATTCAATTAAAATAAGTTTGTAAGAGAAATTTTCATCACCATATTTTCATTTAATATTATTACAGCATTTTATTAAACTTCATAAGAATTTTTCTCTTAATAGCAAATAATCAATTATTATATTCAGTATTCAATTTCTTTCATGATAGTTAGTATTAAATTATTTTGTTGTAATCATTTTACTGAACCCTTTTTTCTACTTTTTCTTCGTTTTGTTTTCTGATTATTTAATTGTCGTAATTTTAAATGCTGTTGCCACCATTTTTGAATAATTAATGCAGCCAAATTTCGTAGCTGATACGGAAACAATCCACCATTACGCAACAAATAGTTAACAATCTAAAAACAAATTATTCATTATCAAATTATTATTATTAAAATTATTATTGTTAAAAATTATTATTATTATATTGTTAAAATTATTATTATTAAAAATTATTATTATTATTATTATTATTGAATTATTATTATTATCAAATTATTCATCATTTAAGAAAAATTTTTTAATTTCAGGAAAAAAATTTTCGATTAAATTTTAAACAGCATAAATCTTAATTCCATTAAAACAATATTAGAATAATTCAGAGCTCATATCCTTCCTTTCCTAAAAAGTCAAAGTTTGAAAATTTAATCGTCAGATTATGTCTAATTTATATTATCGTAAATTCTTGAGATCAGAATCATTCATAATTGATGAATTGTTATTTTGAATTAGAATCCTAAATTTCCATTTTCACAAATAAACAAAAAGCTTCTTTCTCATCGAAGAAAAGTTAATAAATTTAAAGAAAGAAAAGTTTTCCTTTCTGAATAGTTGCCTTATCTTCGCCTTTATTTTTCGTTATTTAAACTAATTTAACGAAGATAAAAGATAGAAGAAGCAGAATTTAATTAATCAAAAAAGCTTTCTCTTCCTGATTTTCGATCATTCTTCGCCTTTTCTATTTTTATCAACAAAAATATCTTCAGCCAAAAACACAACAAAATAGCTATTTATCAATGTATCATTTGAATTTTATCCGTTATTAATGTTTACTAATTATTACCTGCATCTTTTAAAATCATACCTGTTGATGTCCATTAGCTTGTGCGCAACTTAACGGTGTACAATCATCAATACGTGCAAGTGCATTTATAGCTGCTCCACATTTTAGTAAATATTTTACACAATCATATTTACCTCTTTCACATGCTGTATGAATTGGTGTAAATTGATCCAAATCAATTTTATGAATGAGACAATCCTTGAAAATGCAAATTTTACTACTGTTGCTGTTGTTGTTGCAGCTGTCAGCAAGAATCTCTCTATGAGTTATTCTTATATCCTATATATATTGTCCTCATATTTCCTTTGATATGAGAAAGATTATTTAAAAAAAAAACAAAATAATTTTAATTAATCCAAAATTGAAATTTCTAATTACTAATTAATATCATTGATCCAGTATAATAATTGTAACTATCATACTTCATTTGATACGAGGAAGATTATTAAAAAAAAAAAATAACTTAATTAATTCAAAATTAAAATATACAATCACTAATATGATAATATTGATCTTATATAAGCATTCACGACATTTTTTTCAAATGTCTACTTCACTTTAAGATCTGATAATAAAGCTGATAATTGTAATCAAAACTAACAGCTTTCATAATAAGTACTTCAATGCATGCAATATAACCACCAAATGCTGCACAATGCAGTGCAGTTCGTCCAAGTTTATCAGTATGCATTATTTTGCAATTTAATTCTGTCACCATAACGCTTAACGTATGTGCTTGTCCTCCCAAACATGCATAAAATATTGGCGTCCTAAATTCATCATTCAACAAATATAATAAAATATATTGAAATATCTATTTTAATTATTTCCTAAAATTAATTTCTTTAATTTTTACAATTACAACAAAAATTTCTCATTTTCTACAAGAAGATGAATCATTCAATAATATTTAAAGCAATTAAAAATTTCAAGAAAATTTGAATAATAATTAAAATATAATTAAAAACTTAAAAATAATAATTAATATATAAAAAAAAAACTCAAGAATAATAATCAATATATAATTAAAAATTTAAGAATACGTTCAATAAAATTCCTTCCAAATAAATATCATTTATAAGTTCAGAAAAATGAGAAAAAATTTTTTGCAAAATTTATAATAAAATATCATTAATGAGTAATAAGATGTAGAAAATATTAATTAGGACTAAAACAATGACATTTTTTTATTTTCGATTATTTTTGCAAATTTTTTAAATTTTTTTAAATTTTCAGGAAAAAGGAAAAAGTTTTTCAAATATTTTTTAAACATTGATTTTTCCGAGAAAAAAAAATTACAGAATTACAGACTTATTCAGTTTGCCAAATTACATAATTAATTGAAAAGCAATTAAAAATTTTAAGAAAACTTGAATAATAATTAAAATATAATTAAAAACTATAATTAAAATTAAAATATAATTAAAATTTTTTTTTCAATTCATAATTAACAAAAATTTAATAATGATGAACCTTCCTTTAAAATATAATTAAAATTTTAATATAATTAAAATTAAAATATAATTAAAATTTTTTTTTCAATTCATAATTAACAAATTTAATAATGAACCTTCCTTGTTGATCGGTATGTTCACAATTAGCGCCAACCATTACCAGTAAACGAGCAACATTTGTAAAACCTTTAGCTGCAGCAAGATGAAGAGCTGTTGCACCAGCATCTTCCTCTTCCTAATTCAATTACTATTATTATCATTATCATTACTGTTTTGTCGTTATTACTATCACTATTGCTACCATCATCAATTCAATTACTATTACTATCATTGTCATTATCATTATTATTATTATTGTTTTGTCGTTATTACTATTACTATTACTGCCATTCAATTAATATTGTTATCATTATCATTATTATTTTTTTTTTGTCATTATTAAAAAAATTCTGCCACCATAGCGCTTAACGTATGTGTAACGTATCATCATTATTTTTATTATCATTATTATCATGTCATTATCATTATTATTGCAATTATTATTATCATTACAATTATTACTATTATTATTTAATAAAAATTCATAATTATTCCAAAATTTAAATATTTTAGAAAAAAAATATTCAAATAATTAGTACAAATCGACAATTACTCTATCTATTCAATTTCATACTTCAAAAAGAAATAACTTACATGAATATTCCATCCTTCTTTTACTAATAATTTTACCAAATGTAAACTTCCAACATGTGCGGCATGATGAAGTGCTGTATAACCATATTTATCTTTATGATTACGATTTGGTTGATAATATTCTAAGAAATGTTGCACTAATAATTCCTGGTCAAAAATTACTGACCACATAAAACATGAACGACCATCACTATCATATTGTTCCTCAAATAAAAATTTCCTTTTTATATTTCTTACTACTTATTCATTATATTTATTTCTTCGACTAATTGATGATAATTAAGTGATAAATTAATACAGCAGACCATTTGACCAGCAGATATCACTGATCGGTCAACAACACTACGATGACCATCTTGTATAGCATAATACGCTGGTGAAATACCAAAATGATCACGTTTAGCATTGTTCATTAATTAATTATAAATTTTTAAGAATTAACCACCAGCAGATATCATTAATCGGTCAACAACACTACGATGGCCACCTTGTACAGCATAATGCGCTGGTGAAATACCAAAATAATCACGTGTAGCATTCTACATTACTTAGTGATAAATTAATAAGAATTAACCATTCGACCAGCAGATATCATTAATCGGTCAACAACACTACGATGACCACCTTGTACAGCATAATGCGCTGGTGAAATACCAAAACGATCACGTGTAGCATTTCGAGCTTTTGCTGCTAATAATTTTTTGACCACTTCATCAAAACCAATTTTTGCCGCATAATGTAACGGTGTACGAGCATCATTATCAAATGTCTAAAAAAATTTTAATTGTTTTTATTAAATTTAATTTTGCATTTTTTTTATTCCAAAAATTAAAACAAATAAAATTTTCAAATTTACAAGTGGTAAAGTTTTTTTTAATTTTTTTAGTAATTTTCAATTGTTAATTAAACATTATTAGCTAATAAATAAGTCCAATTAGAATTAATTAACGTAATTAATTGATTGATAAGCTTATTTGTGCGATGATAAATAAGAAAGATTTTCGCCACAAAAAAAAAACGATGAAACTTCTTTAATGAAATCTGATAATAAATAAATTATGAAGTCAATTAACTAACTAATAAATTGACGAAATCAATCAATTAATTAATTAATCAACTAAATAGCACTAAAAATATGTAAAATGTACCTCTGAAGGACACTCCAATACGTTGAGCAAAATATCAACAACAACTATATTTTGTGCAATAACTGCTAAATGCAATGCTGTACGACCATCATTATCACGAGCCGTTACTGAACTTATCTTTCGGCTTCCAAGTAAACGTACCACTTCTGGTGCTAAATCAAAAAATAAAATTAGATTTAAAATTTTCAAATTTCACAATAAATTTTTGTATCAAAAAGAAAGTCATTTCACATCTCGATGGCAAAATTAATTTCAACAAAAAAATATCAACATTTAAATCTAATTAATTAGCTCAATGATAAAATTAATTCCAATAAAAAATATCGATATCCAAATATAAATTGTTTCAGTGATAAAATTAATTTCACTTATTTCAATGCTAAAATTAATCGTAGTCCACTTATTTCAATGATAAAATTGATCGTAGTTCATTTATTTCAATGATAAAATTAATCGTAGTCCACTTATTTCAATGATAAAATTGATCGTAGTCCACTTATTTCAATGATAAAATTGATCGTAGTCCATTTATTTCAATGATAAAATTTATCGTAATCCACTTATTTCAGTGATAAAATTAATTCCAACAAAAAATATGAATATTCCAATAAAATTAATTTCAAAGAAAAATATGATAAATTTGGAAAAAAATTTAAACTGTTTCATTTTACAACATTTATTTGATTCTATTAATCCTTTCTATCCAATTAAATTTAATTATTTTTTGAGATAGAAAAAATTTTTTGCATTTTCAAAATTATCAAATGAATAAATTAAAGTACCATCAGGATAACAGCTAGCAGCAGCACACATCAATGGTGTATGTCCATCACGATCTTTCTGATCCACCGGTAATCCAAGTCTTTCATCAATTAATATCTCACAACATTCCAATTTTGCCGTACATGCAGCATAATGTAACGGTGATCGACCAAAATTATCATTTACCATTTGATAAAAATTTTCACTATCTAATACAGTTGATTGTAGTAACATCTGAAAACAAAAGAATGGTAAAATTTTTAATTTCTATTAAATTTAACATACATCAATTATTTCTGTTCTATAATTTATAATTAAATATTTAATGAAAATGAAATTTTATGAAATCAAATAAGAATTAAAAAGGAAAAATAATAATTTGTATTAATTATTAAATTTATCATGTATTTATATACTTATCATGTATCCATAGTGATACATGGTTTGTATGGAAAAATATTTAATTATCCTAACTAATCTATACTGATATTTGTATAAAATATTTAATTATCTAATTTAAAATTTCTTGAAATAATAAAATTGAAATAAAAAAGGATGTATATGAATATAATGTTAAATTTATTTAAATTTATTTCAATATATTAAAATGGATGAAAAATTTAAAATTAACAAAACATAATTACCAAAATTAACATTTCCTATTTTTTGTATTTTATTTCCATAACCTTTAAAATATCATTATTTTATAACAAATATATAAACAATGTTAAATTTATTTAACTTTATTTCAATTTATTTAAATGGAAAAAAAATTTTTTAATTATCAAAATGAAATATTTAAGAATTAATAATTCCTATTTCTTATGTTTCCTATTTGCATATCATTTAGATAACTATTATTTTATAACAATTAATTATATATTATTAAAAATTATAAATGAATTTAAAAAAAGCAAATATTTCCTATTTTTAATATTATCTATTTGCATATCATTTTATCTATTAACATATATTTATTTAATATTATCTATTTATCTATTTAATATTATTTATTTACATATATTATTTGCATAACAATTAATTATATACTATTAAAAAATTATAAATGAATTTAAAAAAAAAAGCAAATATTTCCCATTTCTTATGTTTTCTATTTGCATATCACTATTTGCATAACAATTAATTATATACTATTAAAAATTATAAATAAATCAAAGAAAAAAAAATATTCTTTAATAATTTATACTTTTAAAATTTTCACATGACCATAATGTGCTGCAAGATGAATTGGTGTAATTTGTCGATTATTTTTCATTACAATCCATGATATCTCCGAATATTGCCGTGGTAAACTTAGCAAATATTTGCAACATTTACGTGCATCAAATTTTGCAGCCCAATGTAATGCACTTTCTGAACTTTCTTCACCATCAAATGATGATGATGATCGCCTGAAAGTAATAAATTTATCTGTCAATTAGATAATTTAATAATCATTAAATGATTGAAGTTAAAGTGAAAAAAAAATTCCACCTAAAAATAATAAATATATCTGTTAATTAATTAATTTAATAATCATTAAATAGTTGAAGTTAAAGTGAAAAAAAAAATTCAACCTGAAAATAATAAATAAATCTGTCAATTAATTAATTTAATAACCATTAAATAGTTGAAGTTGAAGTTAAAGTAAAAAAGAAATTCAACCTGAAAATAATAAATGAATCTGTTAATTAATTAATTTAATAATCATTAAATAGATGAAGTTGAAGTTAAGGTGAAAAAATTCAGCCTAAGAATAGTAAATATATCTGTTAATTAATTAATTTAATAATCATTAAATAGTCGAAAGTTAGAGAGAAAAAAATCAATTTAAATTTCAAATAAACAATGAATTTTCTTTTTCGCTAAATTATTATGTTAAGGTAATTAAAAACAAACTTTGAGATAATTTGTAGCGCTCGTAAACGATCATAAAGTAATGCATAGGTAAGTAATGAACGCCCACGACGTCGTATATCAAGTAATTGTGGAAATTGTTTTATAATTTTTTCAAATTGTGTCACATTATTGTTACGTAGCAAATCGATCGCTTCCAAAAATTGTGCATTCATTAAAATGATTATCCGATATCCTTTAAAACAAAAAATTCGTTAAAAAGAAAAATTAAAAGCACTTAATTTCTCGTAAAACAATAAATAGCATTATTGATTGAAATTTCAAAACAAAAGGAAAAAGTACAAAAGATAATCGACACAATGACAAATACAAATTATAGTTTGAAATATAATTATTTGGTTGTCATCTTACTGACAAAATTTACTGGTGCATTTATTTATTAAATTACCTTCTCATTTAACTATTTCTTTATGATTAATTATTTATCTATTTGCTAATAATCAATAAGCTATTCTTTAATAATACCTACTACATATCAACAACTATTTATTTATCATTAATTATTTAACTATTTGCTAATAATCAATAAGCTATTCCTTAACATTATCTATTATATGTCATAATTTTAAATTATCAACAGTAAATTCACTCCAACTTTTAATTAATCGTATTATCTTAAATATTTCATAATTCCTACTACTACTACTACCTTCTTACCTTCTCCCACCTTCTGTCTTATATGTCTGTCCCATGTATCAATCCTATATGATGGTGGTGCACATGTCGCATTGGTGGTGCTGGTTCATTTAATGGTGTCATATTTGCTGAATGTGTGTATATGTGTGTGTGTATATGTGTGTGTGTGTGTGTGTGTGTATGTGTGTGTTTGTGTGTGTGTGTATGTGTGTGTTTGTGTGTGTGTGTATGTGTGTGTTTGTATGTATGTTTGACAAACCGAACATTTCATTTCACATTTTACAAATGTCATCAGATAACATTTGGCTTTTGGTTTATTTAATAACTTTCGTATACGACATCAATTAAAACTTAACTTAACTTAGCAGTAATTTAAAACAAATTAATTAGTTAAATTGCTGCTAAGTTTTAAATTAAATTAATTAGTTAAATCATTGCTAATATCATTTATCATCCATAATCCTTTTTTTCAACAATTCATCGTGAATTGTGAATATTTTAGAGTAAAAGAATATTACTACTATTTTTAGTAATTTCTTTTCCACAGTAAGAAATGATAATAATAATCATTCAACTATGATTTTCTATCACTAATTCTCTATTTATATCAAATTAAATTATCATAAGATCTATAAATGTATAATTATTAAAAATAAAATGCTAAAATATATATTTATTATACGATAACATAGTATAATACATTAAAAGTAAAAGAGCTTTTTAAAATTTTAAGCAAAAATGGAAAAAATACTATTTATTTATACTATGTAATCATATAATATTTGTTTATTTGTTTACTTATTGTTTATTTACTCATCATTAATCATATTCATTTACTCATTTTCATTTGTTTACTTATTTACTAAAAAAATTATTTATCTTGTTGTATTAAAATTCTATATTTCATTATTTTATTTTATATAAATATATATACATGGCTGTAGAAGTAAATTTTAAAACCATTCAAATTCTGAAATGTGTAATATTTCGGCAAACAAATTATACATTTATTTTTGCAAACATTTCTAGTAAACAAAATTACATCATATTTGTTTTCCGATAACTCATTTTAAATATAAATGTTAACATCATTTACTTCTAAATGCAATATTACAGACTATATTTTTACTTATTCATTTTATAATGATGTAATTCATTTCTGCTACATATCAATTAAATGAAATTATTCATTTATTATTTATTATTAATCAATCATTTTATTGTTCGTTGTTTATTATTATTAATTTGCGTTATTTATAAACAATTTCTTTATTTATTCAAATCTCATATTATTTTTTCAATTAATAGATAAATGTGATAGTTTATTATCTCTGCTATTACTATTTTGTTTGTATCATTCAATTTCTGCTCATAATCTATCCAGAAACTTATATCACTCAATTTCTGCCCACAATCTTTCCAGAAACTTGTATCACTCAATTTCTGCTCATAATCTATCCAGAAACTTGTATCACTTAATTTCTGCTCATAATCTATCCATAATCTATCTGTACATAGATTATACTTTTATTCAGTATAACGCAGAAATCATCATCACAAAAAAGGAGCGATCGGATATCGCATTATTCCTTCTCTTTTTCTTTTACCCAATTATTGCTTGAAAACTGTTTACTGTTAAAAGTTTATTGTAAAAAAAAAAAAGTGAATTTGAATATATTAAACGTTTCTAGCGTGATAATGGATCACTGCTATTTATTAATGTACAATGATAGCAAAGAAACACAAGCAATACGAATTTCAAAATTAATTAGAAATTAATAATTTAGAAGATGTGATATTTTAGCAAAAGAGAATTTGATGTAATTGTTGGAAATTTGATGAAATTTATCGAAATATATACAAAAAAAAAAAAAAAAGAACTATTAATATTGCTTGCTTGCATGCATTTAATATGCGAGGAAAAAGCATGAAATATTTGGATCTCATTTTTTAAATGAAATCATCTCCGAATCAATTTACTGGAAATATCCGAATGACAACTGATAAGTATAGAATTCAAAAGAAACAAACAGAGACCGATATATATGAATTATGCAATATAGAAATAAATTTTTCCCATATACCATCAGGTTTTAAGCAATAAAAATTATCACAGTAATAATTTGTCTCGTGATTTTTGCAACCTAAATATACAAATTTTTAATTTCACAGAAACAAAAAGAATTTGTAACAGTTAATATAGCGTCAAGCACGATCACATTTGACTATTAAATCAAACATCAATGATATATCCATCTCATCGTCTCGTTGGATACTTAGACATGATCATGTAACATAATAATGAGCTGGCTCAATTAGGTAAATCAAGAATAATCCATTTCATATGATACACAATGTGAAATCATTGTGGTATACAATTCTCAGCTATATTATCCTATTTTCGTTATCTAAATTTAACAACAAATCTTTTTAAAAGGAAAAACAAAATTTGGGCAACAGTATTTTTTAAGGAAAAAAAATGAAGAGCAAAGAAGGAAATATTACAATATTCACCGTCGTACATATATATGGTTTGAAGGCAAACAATGAAACATTTTACCAGTTTCAAATTTTACTAAAGAAAAAACTAAATCCGAAAATATTTAGGATTCCTTAAGAAGAGCAATCTTTTTTTAAATGAAGTACAAAAAGTGGTGAAATGATGCAATTATTGCCATATCGACAGCTCAATTAGTTACCTTTTCAAATCAATCGGTTATTCTAAGTGACCAAAAATGTCTGATTCTATACATTTCCAATTGATTATGCTATGGTGATCGTGATAGATGCCCAGAAATCTTTGAAGCTATCCGAAGTTGCAACAAGAAGGCAACGAATGAGACAAAACTAATACCTACTGATCTCAGTAGCCAGCAAATTAATTGATAATATTTCTACAAATATACATGTACAATATTGACAAATAATATTCTGTAATGAAATCATCAAATTATTATTCAATAAGCTCAACTCAGAATCCTACTTATGTGCATGGCAATAACTGCAACATACATTTTGGCACACCATTTCTAAAAAGAGATAGTTACACATTATACAAATACAAAATTTCTAATTTTATTACAGCAACTGTGCTAAAATTCGTGCAAAATTATATACAGTTATCGGCAAGAAAAAACAATACAAATCATACAATAGCTTTTCTTGCCTGTTTATAAGAAAAATTTGAAAGACATTGAAATTTTTGGGTTTATTTGAAGTTTACTGAGGAGCATTTACTCAAAAATTAATTTTAACGCGCATATTCCTTCAAGATAATTTTCAACTAAAACTTTAATTCTTTCACAACATATATCGGTTAAAAAACACGCTTGGGATTCAGAGCAATAATATTTTCATCCAATCCAAACTAAATAATAAAATTTTCCAAAGCAGCGGCAAATAAAATAATAGCTCATGTTGCTAGCTAAACAACCTCGTAGGTGCTGGAGTCGACTGCAAAATTTCTAAATATGCAATTATAACTGCCAATGCTCCGCAAAATCAACATATAGTGCGTGTTCCAGTCGATTAATTGCAGCTTTGTAAGATAATGAACCATTGAGATAATGAGCATCTCGAAGCTGATCCTCCTGAAATTCCCTTTTCTCTATCAGGTAACAGACTTAATTATATTCAAGGATTGACAAACCTCTGTGTAGTGATTATACCTGATTTCTCAGAGTTGTGTACATGGATATATCATTGGTCAGTTTTGGCAAGGAACTGATATGTGCATTCTATTCAGAAATAACTTGCAACAAATGAAGAGTTTGTTCAGAAAGTATGCTTTCCTCTTCTATATCTGCATACTTGTAAACATAATCTCTTACGCTCCTATTCTTAAATCTATGAAAAGAATTTGAAATATTTTTGCTGAAGTTTTAAACTTTAAATTTAAGGGGATACCTTATCAAAGGAAAATTGCATCGTCAAAGCACGCATTTCATTTTGGGTCGCCAGAGCCAAGAAGAAAGAGCGCAACTCACTAAAGCTTGTAAGCGTTTTAACATTAACCAGTGATGCAGACATAAATTTCCGACCATGAGCCGATAACTGACCGTACTGAAATTGAGTAAAAAATAGTGATTGTGATACTATGTGGGGCAAAAATCGAAAAAATATTCTAAAATAGTAACAAAAAAAAATCATCCATTTTCATGTGGACATACTTTATGACGAAGCAAACAGTCGATACGACTCGCAAATGGCACGAATGAACCGATATTACTTACTGCCACCGAATTTACAAACGCCCAATGACACCTGAAAATAAATTCTGCTCTTCAAATCGAAAATTACTTAAATATCTGACAATTTTGACCGTAAAACTAACAAATCCCGCATCAGTAAGTGCACAATCGAGTAGTTTACAGTCAAAAAAATTAGAAATTTGCATTTGTAGCATGTACTTTGATGGAAATATCCAAAGATGTTCAAAACTGCTTACATTTGAAATTGTGATAAATAACCAGCAGGAAGTGTACATAATGTTTCAAGTAGTTTACACGCTGCAAGATACAACTGCATCCATTGATCATTACGATCACATTTTAAATCATCCGAAACATTTGTTATACCTGATAACTGTTGCTCAATTTGTAACAATACATGTACCTGAAATTTATCCACTTGATATCGTCGAAAATCATTAACTCGTTTTGAGTCACCAAGTGATTTTAAAAATTTCGGTATAAAACACCGTTATAATGAAACTTAAAAAGGTAGCAAATGTATCTCTACACGGAGTTATAGCGTTATTTCAACAAGCTATATATAGTACCAGTTCTGTAACCATCGAAGGCCACATGCTGACAATATGCTGTGGTTTCTGTCTGATAAGCAAAACTCGATAGCAAAGAAATACTTGGGCATGAACAAGTGGAACTTGTGATAAACGTAAATTGTCGGATAAACGTTCTGAAAAACGCAATAATTAGCATTACATATTAATTCGTTTTTAAAAGTTTTAAAAGGTGATTTCTTCTGCAAAGTTTTGTCTCACTACATTATACAAAAGATATCGAACTTTTGAAAGCAGCCTGATACATTTAACGTCTCAAAGAATACAAAAGCACATAGTAGTATCCTTAAGAAGTAAACAAATCCCAAAACTTCAATTACCTTGTATATCAGGCAGTTGAGCTTGATACTGCCCAAGTTCCGAACTTAGCACTATAAATGCTAAACGTTTGAGTGCCTGGGCGCGCATTTCATACTCGACTTCTTTGCTAGTTATCAGACTTGAAAGTGCAGAATTTTGCGCTGTTGAAATCCTTCCTGAAAAAGTGCATAATACTTGAAAATACAACTTCATGAATTATGAAATATTCTGCCACATATTAAAATTTTTACTATCAGCTACAATTGCCGAAGAACAAACCAAGCAGTTCTTTGAAAGATGTTTTGTCGTGAGTCATCAAATGATCCGTTATAACCAACCAATGTTTCAAGGATTGCATATCCATTTTGAAGAATGCTGTAGTTTCACATGAATGATAAAGTAAACCTATGGCAAAATTGGTAAACAGTGATACTTTGTAGGCTTACTTGTGTTTCGTCAAAGAAGTAAGTAATTCTTACTTCTTTAAAAGAGTGAAAGAAAGGACATTAAGGTTCATTAAACCAGATATTGTAATTGTGGTGATTTGAACCAAGATTAATGTAAGAAAGTTGCATTTAATCTGGCAATTATGAAACAATTACCTGGATCAAGCAGAAGATCCAAAGTAGCTTTACGCCACACCGGTCGCATATAGTTGAAGGTACTCATCGATGCTAGCAATTGCGAACTAGCAAGGAAGAATCGAGCATTTCGAGCACTGAATTGCAAATTGAAATTTGAAAAACCCTCAAGAAAGCTTTCGGAAATTCTTTAAACAAATTACGGCTTATAAGTTTTGAATTCAAAAAATTTGTTCTAAATTTAGTATTGTATTTAAAGAAGGAATAAATAGCTCAAGTTTTATGACTGAAAAAAAGTCCCACCGCAGCGTTCCGTTAAAGCATGGTGATCGCAGGTATAGAATTGTTACTTAAATTTCTAATGCACAAAAAAAATTAAAAAACTGGTGAGATCGAACAACAAAAACCGAATGCGCTGAACTCGACTAAGAATAATGCAATTTCAAATTACAGAAAACACCGAAAATATTTAATTTTTCTAGGGAAAACGTACTTCTTGGCTTTTAAATATGGCAACGTATTACTCCAAACAGCATGAAGCAATGGCAACAATCTCTCTTTATCTTCACTCTTACATATCGAATCAATCAGTTCGGCTAAATGCTGAAATTAAAAGGGAAGCAATATACAGCATTTCAGAAAAAACCGTCTTTTGTAGAGTAAAAAATTATTTTCCATTATCTTATAAAACTTAGAAGTCAGAGATAAATTTGGAAATCAGAAATTAAAGTTTTGCAGCTGCTTTCCTTTTTTATTCATGCGATAAAACATTATCTAATGAATGAAGAGAAGAATAACCTCAGCAAGCAAGAATAAAGCTTGAGTACTGTGAGTCGGATCGCGTTTCAAGCTATTTGGATCTTTCACATTTGATCTTTCATACTTGATGTTTGATATACTCCGCCTGTCAGCTGCTGAGTTTGATGCACCTTGAGATGGTACTGATATCTGCGTAGCTGTGTCGAAGGTAGGAATCCTGAAAGTGATTAGATCTAGTGATGTAAAAATGTTTAAGAAAAGACGCTGGGAAATGTTCAAAAAATATATTTATTGGGTGATTCATTATGGAATAATGAATGTGCGACAGCTTTCTCCTAACTTCGATAGATTTTCAAGCACATACAACTGTTTGTCACTAACCTCGACGGTACCAAAGATGATGTGGAACCACGTAAAGAATTATTTTCCGAAGCAGCTAGTGACGTTGGCGCAGTGGAGAACTCCACCACTGGCGATGTTTCCTGCGACTTTTGCGCTATAACGAATTTGGAATTTCATCATTTCTGGGCCCAGAACAAAAAATTACGACAAATTCAGTAACCCAGATTTTAATGGTAATTTTATTTTATTTTAATGGTAACTTTTCAAATCTTTATAATATATCTCAAAACGTTTAACATAAACAAAACAGCCTCCTGGTTAACTCAACCAGGACGTAGTTTTGTTTTTGCATCCTTTTAAACGTTTTGAGAAATTACCTCTCAAAATTAAATATTTTATAAATCAACATTCACCAGATGAATCATGTTTGACAACCAATGTCCGCTTCAACCAGGTAGTTTGTTCTAGCTGCCAACCAACAATAATATTCATAGCTTCCGTAAGTCTCTGACATGCATCCTGAGCAGCTCGTGATAACTGTTTGTCTTCAACAACAGCTGAACTTGTAGCGAGTTGTACGAAATCCACAAGTATACTGCAATTCATGAAAATAAAATCAAGTTCGGGAAAAGCTAAGTAAAAGAAATCACAACTTAAAAATGTCAGTCTTTCAAATAAAAGACAATACCTGAATTTCAGTAAATTTGTTCTTTGTCTTTTTTATGACAGAAACAGAATAAATAACATACAGATGAGTACAATTTGTATGGAATTAATACCATTATAAATTTATTCCAGGTTATAATGTTTTCTAAAATTTACATGAATTGAATGAAAACAGCCTTCGGCGGTAGCGACATAATCGGAGATTCCATAAACAATGCTTGCAATGAAGGCCAACAATTGTATAGAGCAGTGGATGGTGTAGCCCTCACACAACCATGAAGCATTTCCAGCAGCGCAAGTTCGATTGGGAAAGCACTTTGCTGTAACCAATTCTGAACAGGTAAAAGTGCAATAATTGAAACATCGGTATGGATCTGATTAACGGCTTAAATGACTCAAAAAAGTTGTTTTGAGTAAGAGTTATGAGGTCTCAGTACTTTGTAAGTATATCTGAAGAGGGTATTAATGCTCCGTACTTGTATGCTAGCATTATTATTATTTATAACTGCTATAAAACAATCACTTTTTCTACAGCTGCACCCGATTTTACGACTTTCCACGCGCTTTCTTTCAGTGCTTCAGCAACCGTAGAAATAAGATTTTCGAATGGAAGAATTTTGATACTCAGCAGAAGATCGGCAATATCGAGCTGTGCCGGTGAATAATCAAATGACGACTAGAAAAGGAATGAAACAGTTTATTTGCAGAAAAGCCATTTTTAAAATAAGATTTGGTATCTTTTTCTATTTTAACTATATAATGGAAATATTTCAGTAATTCAGCTAAATCTACCATCTTATCAAGAAATAACAGTCTATGTTGAATTTTGGAATGTCAAAAGCTGATATATTATTGCATATAATCGAAATTTTCTACCGAAAAAACTTAACAAAACCTGATCAGATTCAGTACGTGTAGTAAGTTGTTTCTGTGATGTTAATGAACTTCGGGTCATCCATACCAATGCAAGTGATGATAAAAATGCATGCTGATGATGTTGCACTATTGGTGAAAGCAAATCAAGAATTAATTGGCGGATTATCTAAATGTATTTACAACATTGCTTCAGAGCACTGATGTTTGAATGATAGAAAAATATTTTTGTCCATGGAAAAAAGTTCCGTGTTTAAGGGTTGATTTATTGTCTTTTTGTTTTAACTTCCTCTTGCAAGTGCAAAGTAAACGTTATCAATGTAATTTCAAAAAGAACTGGCAATACCACAGGATTTCCAATCGGAAGATTCGGTTCTCCTTTTCGCAATTGTGTCCAAACATCACAAAGCGTCGCAAGAGCATGTGGAAAAGCGTTAAGTACATCAGATCGCGCTTGCCTCCAAACATCATCAGCCGTGAGATCAGTAAATTTACTGAGCGCCGCACTCGATGACTAAAACTCGGATTTGAATTGCACGACAAGATTGCATTAGGATTAATAAAACTTAAATTGAACGGACTCAAGCTCTCTCCATTAACTTACCCCATTAGTACTGTCGCTGAAGGAAAAAACTTTAACAAGGTTGGAAATAAGCTCTGTAGCGCCTCGTGTGCCTGGTATCGCATTCATTACTGAAGATGCCAGCGACGGATTGCTAACTGTTACGACCTAAAGGAATTCATAAATTGTTATTTATTAATAGTCAGCTTTCAATATAGTCGCGATCTAACTTAATAGCCTATCATCAGCAATTGTTAGGTGCTCACAACTTTCAGCCGCATAACACTTATCATCAGTAACAACCAAAAAAAAATTCTATTTAACGAAGTGATATACCTGTGAGGGTTGATGGACATTGGCCAGTGTTAAACTAGCACCGGTTTGAGATGTATTATCGATAAGGCAATAATGAAAGAACATATTCAATGTTTCCAATATCTAAAAGGAAAACTATGCTTGGAAAAATCAATCTTGTAAGTTTTCGTCTGAGTAAAATGAACCAAGACCCAGAATTCTAAAGTACGATAATATTTTAGAGTAATAAATAGTTTTGAGTCAAACACGTTATAATTGAAAATAGAAAATTATAGTAAAGGATACAGTTTAGACTAATAATTCGACAGTTAAATGTGTGAATAAGTAAATTTTGATAAAAACATATTAAATGGAGTGTGACTGAATTTAAATTCCATTATTATTGAAACGCATACACTTACTCAAGTAGCCTTTGTATTATTCTATTTCAATCAAAATCCGATTAGGAAGGTAAAAGGAAAAGGAACAGATGAAGATTCCGAATCGGTGCCAAATCATGCGATTCGTCAGAAATATTCTGATGAATTGAATGATTTCATTTAGGGAAGAGGAGTATTTTCATTACATGCATATAACAAAACTTACTCCGATAGCATAATTGGTCGGATAGGTTGGCTTGTCCTGATTGATGCCTATAGAATGAACAGGAATTGATTCAGTCGATGTAATATTGTGCATTTCATCATTAATAGGAAAATATGCGGCGCTTATGGCAGATTCCAGACTTTTACATAGTTGCTCGATAATATGCACCGAAAATGTAGACAACGATCTGAAACATAATTTCTAAGAATAAAAGCTTTTGTTTCATCATATTATAAAGAAACACAGTTTTGAATATCAAATTGAGCTCCATGAAAAATGATTAATAAAATTTTTTTTACTTTTTAAAAATATATCAGAAAGCCACTCAGCTCTGCAAATTACATTCTAATTATAAAAAATATGTGTAATAAACCTATCAAGAAATGGAAGTATTCGTACGACAAATGTAAGCCACTGTTCCTGTTCAGCTGAATGTTTCTTGAGAGCATTCAAGACAGTTAACAGGAACATACGCAGTTCAACCATGCCAACATATGGTTCACGAAGCGTTGCACGATGTTGCGGTGAATTATAAATTTGATGATTTATCGTCAACTTATCTATACCACTATTATTCTGAAATTATGGTTAATTTATTAAAAAATTTTTGATAATCAAATCTTTCGTAGTTTTCAGTTTTAAAATGAAACCTTTATATATCGCTTAGTAACATACTTATTATCGATAACCTGCTCAAAAAAAAACTATTGCTTTTACTCATAATGTAACATTTACTTCGAGCTCTCTTTCTTAAACTAATCGCTTAATAAATCCATTCCACACAATTTTATTAGCCAAATTTACTTATTCACATCTTTACTTGTCAAAGTGCACCTGCGAACTATGATCTCCCGATAACTTCCTGTTTGCCGATTTATTACAACTGAGTTCAAATTCCACAAATTTCCAAATCTACTTGAAATTGAATACATTAGCCCTAACTAAAAAAATAATTCTTGCGAAATGACTACTTGATCAGTGAAATTTTGAAATCCATTCTTGATCACCAGTTCCAGCTGTATTACGGCGGCAGTTAAATCTAGCAGTGAACTTTGATAACCAACAATCAAATCAGAGAAATTACTGTTGGAGGTTGTAGTGCCATCATTGAATTCCAATATATCCACTGATAATGGAACTCTACAAATAATGAAATTTGGAATGCAATGACGAAAAAGAAAATCTTAAAAGCATGCGAAAATGAGTTCGCTGTGAATTAATTCCTATCGTACTGTACGGCCAGACAGCTGCAGAGTCTAAAAAATTGACATATTTATTCACTACACCAACATTTCTGTATCAGAAAAAATTTTGCAGTTTTTCAAAGACAATAATTTACATTTCGGCGTTATTATGTTGTCGAACATTATGAACAGAAGTTAGGAGGGAATGCAACAAGCATTTCTGAAGCTTTGAACGTTGCAACAGGCCATGGATGGAAATAGTTAAAGCCCGAGACTGATTCTCTTGGATCATCGCAATTAATTCGCGCACTAATTCAGTGAGAAAATCCAAAACTGCCATCTAAAATAAACAAAATTAGTCAGCATTTTATAATTTCACCGATACCTTATTTTTCAATATCATACAAATATTCTTCAGCATTAATGAAGCAAACATGAAAGAAGTGTACTTTTTTTGACCAGCTGCTAGTTTGAGAATGTGGAAATATTTACTAAACCAATTATTAGCCTGATTTTCAATAGTTTTTTCTCTTAGGCTGTCAGGAAACCCTTGAAGTCCAAGCTGAATTTTAAGTGACTGTAAAATTTACCTTACATTTCCACGCATTGCGTAAATCAAGACTAGAAACATTAGCAGTGGGAGAATTGACAAAATATGATCGAAGGAAATGTAAAGAAATCTGCAATATATTTATATTAAAATTTTGAATTCATTCAGTTACAAATGAACGACAGTAAATCACCGAACAACTCCGCCTGAGAATATTTCAGAACTTGTTAGACAAGGTTCTATGAATCCACGATTTATTTTAAATGTTCAACAACAAGGACGTGCACCTTAAATTTCTCCGCTTACTTTTCGAAACATTAGTTGAAAATGACCATAAATTATATAAAGCAAAACTTACAGTCATAAAAAGTTCGAGAAAAGTGTAATGTTTATATTTCAGTGTGTCGGTTCCATTCGCATTATCCGACTCAGAAGCCCAAAAATCCTGCCCTAATATGGAACGAATATGACGTGACACAAGGTCCATCAATTGCTCAGATGTAGCACTTGATGAAGATTTCGGAAATGAAGCAGTTCCAGATGAAACCATACAACTGAAAATTTGATTTCTTTGCCGAATATTCAAAAACGGTTGCTTCGCAACAAATTCGAGCTTCCGCCTTTCGCCAAATTATTCTAAAATAACTGTAGAGAAGCTGAAGCCATGACCCTGAAGTAATCTAAAAAGCTTGGATTGTCTATACCGATACGTATAATAAATGAGAAATTAAAGTCTGCGCAAAAAAACAAGCTAAAACATGCGGAAGAAATGCTTAGCACAGATAGACGGTTCCTGCTCAGTTTTCAGAAGACTCACCTAATAATAAGCCTGGGAGTTAGAAAGCTAAGCTTTGTTCGCATCAGTGCAATTAACATTCGGAATACTTTTTCAGAACGCGCTAAATCCACTGTTTGGCCACTCTCTGCATACAACAACATATGTGCATGTAACTCATGGCACAATGGTTGCACTTCATCTCCAGTTGCTTCCAATCGAGGAAGTTCCGATGTATCGAACAATCTAAGTCAATATACAATTAACTTTTAAAACAAACAACCAAAATTTCAAATGAAAAATAGTGTGAATTTTAGTTTAAGAAATTTAAATTGAAGTCAAGAGTAAGCTCACTTGAGCTCTTGTGCGGACATCGTAAATATGCTTTCTTGCAATGAATCCTGCCTTCGATGACCTCTAAAGCGTTTAAAGTTCTCAGAAATTGATGGACCATTCTCGGCAGATTTCCACGATGAACATACAGTAGATGATTGCGATTCTGCTGCTCTCTTTTGTGGTGCACTTTCTACTGCCCTGAAATTAGTCAAAATTCCGCTATTCAAGCAAAAAGAAAAATGTTACAAAGTGACAGTTTTTAACGACATTTCGAATATCATGCTTTCGGCAATGAACAACATGATATGCTCTTATCATTTTGGACTGAAAAATGGCGTAACTTGTAGTTTGGACAAAATGTCTTTCCAAATCATCACTGCCCGAAATAATCCACACTAAATCAAATGTTCAATGTGATTCAGCAATCAGGAAGCCATCATAAAGACTTGAAGTATACTAACGAACCCGGTTAATCCTTCTTTTTCGCTGATTTCGCTCTCATGTGCACAACTGATCAGTGTCATTTGGACATGAGAACATAATCGTTCACCGGCAAAATAAGCTTGTACTTCCATTTCACTTTCTTCTTGAGCACAAATACAATCAAGGATATACTGCAGGGTTTCTACTACTTCGTGATCCAAGGAATCTATTGATGCCGTTTCAATAGAATCCTGAAATTAATTTCGAAAATATTGTTTGGACTTCTAGGTCCGTGGAAATCATTACATCATAAACCGGAAAGCTTGATTCCTAATTCTTCTATAATAATTAACTCGAATGCAACTGGTATTTTTCTTCGTATTATTTTTTAGAACGATATTTTTTATCGTTTTAAAGAATAATACAAAATATATTATTGGAATATGCGCTTCTGATATTATTACGAGAATATTTTATATTTATATATTGAATAGTATCACATCCGTTTACAACTCCTAATTGCTATCTTTCCGTAAAAATTATTACAAGACCAGATTACGGATAACGCACATTATCATCATCAAACATTGGTATATCCGATATAGTTCTGCGATGAGTCTTTTGCGCTTCGCTTGTTACATTCAAGTCCATTGTACCAGTGTCGTCGCCTCCTTGCAACAAACGATTTCGTAATTCAGTCAACCAAACTGGGTATCTGAAAAGCATTTCCAATGGATTCTCAAATAAAATCAGTGTATTTACTTTCCTAAATAAGTTTTTCAGTAAAAATTTCGAAATTATAACGATTTCATTAATTTTCCAAAACGAACTCTCCGATCCTTAATCTCTCAAACGCTGTCGAAGCTTCGGCCAAATGTCGTTTAGCTTCATTTGAACCTACTGCCGAAACATCTTCGCATAAATGATGTAATGATTGATGACCACCATCTGTTAACAATGTGATGGCACAAATACCAGATGGCATGTGTGGAAACTGAAAGAAAAGCAGTTTCAAATTTTTAATTCTAGATATTCAAATTTATCTCTGAATTTCTAAATTTTACAGGATAGCAAATTACAAAGAATATCAGAGTAAAGAAAATATCAGAGATATTTTTGGATAATAAAATAACAATGCACATATTTTTTCCTCATCATTGAAAATGCAAATTTTACTTTTACTTTCAATCAACCATAGTATTTCTTAATAGTGAAACTACTATACATAATGCCAATAGCTTTGGAAAAAGAAAATAAAAATCTAATCACTCTCATGCATAATTAAGAAAAAAATGTCGCTTATCATCTTATCGAAATACTAAGTAAATGCATACCTTTTCTTTATTTATTCTGGCATGCATGTTAAGATACTGAATTGAAGCACGTGAGGTACTCGGGTTCAGAAGCATAGTAGTCATCATCTGGAATATGAATGAAAGTTGTATGAATCTTATCACTCTTAACTTTTGGAGCATGTGACATTTAATCATTGAATATCAGAAAAATTCTTTGACATTCAACGGAACCTAAAATAAGCTGAAGAAACTAGTAGTCTCACTGTCACACATGAATATTAAAGAGCTTCGCAGTTGGATCAACTAGAAAATACGCATGTACGGTAATTTAAAAAAGCACAGAAGTTAACATCATCGTTTATACTAGGAGCATTATGGAACATAGACCGCAATAAATATGTAAGAAAGGAAATAAAATAGAAACTTCGTCATTAATGGCTAGAATTAAATTGGCAAATAAATTATCATGAACCTGTAGGATATATGGCAAATCCGAATGCTGAGCACAATCATTGAACCAACAGGTCGAAATAATTTTCAATTCTGCTTTATCATAACCAATAGTATCGTCAGACAAAAAACCCAATAAGAGCATGACAACCCTTTAAAGAGTTAAAATTGCAATTTATTTTCAATTAATATTAGTTATATAAAAATAAACAGAGCCAATTGAAGAAAATGCAAAGCACTAATTTAATTTTATCCACACTGAATCAATACTACGGACTTACTTTCTTAACCTGCCCATCTTCCCTTATTATCTAATATCACTATCTCAATGCTTAAATATAACTGGAACTTTGTGAATAAAGTTCAGGAAGAAATTACAGACTCTAAAATTATCAACCTGTTGAACGGCTTAGATGATAACCCAAGATAGAGTTCCTCGGCTGCAGAAGGTCGATTTAACATCCATAAAGTTCGAAATTTTTTAGCAGCAGAGCAACTCAGCTCCTGGAAAAAGTAAAATAAATCACTTAAAAATCAACTCCTTTTATGCACTTAAAACTTTAGTAAAATGAATTTGATAAAACAACAAAAAAGACTCCTTACCTTATTTATGCTCGTAAGATCGCTAACAATCAAATCCTCCACATCACTACTCGGTTCAGAAGGCTTCCGTGAATGAAATAAGCAAAGTAGTCGAGCAACTGTCGAATGATAATATGCTTTGTCGCTTCGGCCGAGATATAACCAAAGAATCTTAGAAGCTTTCTGAAAATGGAAAGCGAAAAAGTGATAAGTAAAATATGGAAAAAACCAAAATTTTCATAGGTTAAGAAAATATATCTCAAGAGGTTCAAAATTGTAAAACATCTGGCTGTGAACTATGAAATAAACGCACGTGAAACATGGAAAAGAACGGCCTCCAAAAATGGTAGTTGTCTAAAACTGATTTATACTTTTAGTTCAACCCACTCGCTGATTATTTAGCAATAACTTCTAGTCGGAAAAAGCATTTTACCTTGAAAATTTCATCATTATCCAAACGTTTCAAGTCCGCTTCAGAGATCAATGGTTTCAATAGTATAGTTGTCTTTTCTTTACCGTCCAAAGGATCCACATTTGCGTGTTGATGGAGCGCATTTTCTCTAAAGTCAAGATAAAAACTTCCTAAATTTGGAAGACACAGCAAATATTTAAGGTTACTTTTTATAGGACACATGTTAATGTAAAATTTTAGGTAATAAATTTCAGCGAAAATTTGAATAGTTTGAATTGACCTCTTATGACGCCGCAACATAGCGGCATGTTGTTCTGCAACCGAAATACTCCTAACATAGATATAAGTTATTAAATCCAAAGCATTTGCACGAGCAAACATATCGGTTACTCGGATTTCAAGAGCATGATGATCTGCCATAAAAAAATATTTTAAAAAGACGAGCCAAGAATTCAAAGAATTAAATCTAAATGCCCTTAAAGTGTGTAAATTCTTTAATAATCTGATAGAGCACAACAAAAAAAATAAATTGAAAACAAGTTGAACTGAAATTCTTAAATTAATCAAATGAATGTGAAAAGAATATAATGAAGAATAGAGCGACATTCAAAAAAATCAAACCATTAGAATTTATGGAGGCATCCCATTCGTCCAGTGATAATATGCTCAATAAAGCGCTTAACCAAATTGGATAATTACTTGATACATGTCGTTTAAGATATCCCGCATCTGTGGAATTATAATATGAACTAACGAACATTTTGCTTTAATGCTATCAACGAGAGTAATGCAAACGACTTCGAGAAATGAAATGCAGTACACTTGGATATACAGTAAGGAAGAATATGAGAAAATTAAATAAAATATTTAACATATAAAAACATACTCTTGATTTCCTGTGCACCTAAATCATAAAGAGGAAAATCGGCAAATTCTCGTGTCAAAGTTGAAGTGGCATAAAATGCTTGCAGCCGTTCTATATCTCGCTCTTTGCAATACCAATCACAGATCTGTGCAAGAACTCGCTGACAACTACTTAAACCATTCTCTACTCTCCACTGTTCTGCAAATAATAAGTGAGGTGATTGTAAACTATGTCGCTAAATTACGAAAATCTAATCCATTATCTACAAAATGTTGGCTAAAATAAAATTATAACTTCAGAATTTGATGAACACCGCTGAAAGAGTACGCAAAGTTGAATTTAACACATTATGAAAGCATTAGAATTCGTCCACTCGTCCTGCATCATGTGACATGTCAATTTTGAAGAAACCTTTAATTGCGCCTCCTTGTGTGGGTGGTTTATCCACTGAATCAAGTTCATTGTAACGTACTATCTCGTATACCTCGCCACGTTTCCGTGTCACGACTAAAATTTATAGTAAGTAAAATATTTTTGAGTTTATTCAATGTAAATTGACTACCAACATTTTGAAAATCTTACTAATCAAAAAAGGGATTTAAAATGCAAAATTAGTAAATAACACTAAATTTTAATTTCAAAGATCCCTCAGAATTATCGATGTGAAAGCCATTTATCGTTTGAGTGCTTCGGGTCAGATTTAAACTTATAACGTGGAAGTTATCATTACCACTAATTTCTAATACAGCATGTTTTTGAGAGCTTTTTTAGGCATCAGCTACTAACCTCCAGCTTCCATGACAACAGCACTTTGATTAACTTCATTTAGAATTGCTTTTGAAACAATTAGCAGTCGAACAAGTAGTTGGCCGTCTATCGATGCAACATTCTTTTCAGCCACAGTTGTGAGGATCGATGACAATAATTGCGGTAGGTACCGTTCTCGAATATCACCATGAGAATCTAGTTCTATCGTATTCAGGCAAAATAATACTATCTACAAATAGATCCTATAATGAATGTCATAATATTAATTCAGTTTTGCCCAGATTGTCAAAAGCAACTGTCTTCCTTAATTTCAAATAAGTAAGAAACTTTTATTCAAAATAATAAAAGATCACTAATTTCGCAAATTATCATTGCCTATGATAAGTAACATAATTTTCGCAAACTATCCCATTTAAAAAGTGAAAAAATCAGAACCTGTGGAAAGTTTGCCAATTCATGGGTCGTCCTTCGTTCTTCTTCTTCTTTTAACATTTTTACTTCATTTGTCAACAAATGTGGATCTATTGTACCATTTTGCTGTTCTTCTTGCTTTTGCTGTATTAACCTTAAAAGGTTGCGCTTTTCTAGATTTAAAAAAATTTATCGAACACCCATGATTCATATGAATAAACACCATGTTTTTTGTAACAGTCAAGAATGTTTTCCTAGTACTATACACTGCTTATCGCTTTTACTATAAATTAAAAGAAGTTTACAATGTATGTAGCACAATCGGAAGGGAAATGATTTCGATCGGTCAGCATTTCCTTTAATATTCATTTATAAAATAATATCAATATCTATGGGTATTTCCAACTATTCCTATCAGCCGAAATAAAGTATGGATTTACGATTTCAGTTTTCGTTCAAGAAAATTCCAAATAAATCCAACATCAAGCGAATTCATCAACAGGTTTATTGTCTTTCCGAACTCTTCCAGTCGTTTAATCTGAAAAGTAGAATACAAAGCAGATTGAGCATAGCTTTGGAAATTTTCGTGTTAGCACATCCGAAAAACAGATCACTAAAAAACACATGGAATAGCGGTAAATGTAATAGACCACTGATATTAAATATATAAATACCTTCTCGGCTGAAGTCTCTTCCGGTATTGACAGAATGCTTAATCGTGATTGTCGGGAACTGACAGAGGATTTACTTGTAACACTAAACCGTCGATTTTGCTCATCAATCGTTTCTAATGAAGTTGATAACCTTTTTGTTCTACTTAATATTTCTTCATTCTGTAAAAATTGTAGTTTATATTAATCTTTTAATTTCAGTCCACTTGAAGCCAAATCGAAGATATAAAATGACAATAATAGTCCATCTGATGCGGAATACTACTCATACTCATGACTCCATTTTAAAACCATACCACTCTAATAAAACCGAACAACGAAATGTTAGTATCAACCTTGGCTAAAACTGATTCCAAACGTATATCATTCTTGGCAGCTGCTTCCAATACAATCAGTAATGTTTCTTCAAGAAAAAGAGAGCCTAATTCAGGTCGATCCATAAAGTATAATAGCAAACGTGCAACGCGTACTTCTGTATATTGCATTTGATGTTCCTGGAATAAAAATAAATTTGGATTTATTAAAAAATGAAACTTATTTTGACAGGAGAACATTTTCGGATTTCACAGTTCGAAATTTTAGAACCTATATTAACGGTAGGCAAGGACACACAAACTTTTTGGAGACATGATCAGTTCTAGCTAAGACGCCCAATATTCTGACAGAGAAATACATGCCCTCTTAATGCTACTTTCCAAAAAAGAATAGGAAGTGTAGCTGTGCTAGGAACTTCAAAAATTGAAACACAAAGTCCCCAAATAGCTCACCTTCGTGCCGTCCCAGCAAGCAAGACCACTAGTTACTTGAACTGTATCCAATTTTAAATATTCTTCGACTGCTTTCCTCGCAATCGGCAGAGCATAAGTGCTTAAACAGATCTTGTTAAGTATAATCTGAATTCACTAAATGTGACTAAAAAAAACCGAACTTTCCAGCTTCTTATCCTGAATTTTGGAAACAGCTCTCATTATTCTAAATTTACACATTACATTTCAATAACAAACAAGAAAAATGTGAAAAAGAGCAATAATTACATGAAAAAAGTAGTGTCAAGCTGTTCATCCACCCCAGCAACGGGCAACCCAGTAACAGCTGAATCACCAACACGATTTAACAACCACTGATATAAACGCCTATTCAAGCTCATATCCCGGCGAAGTACCAGAAAGAGACAACGTCTGAGAAGCTGAAAAAAGTAAATATTAACAAAACTTGCCTTTATTATATATGAATTTAAGCTTCCATGCAATTACTACTTGTACAAATATAATTTTCCTCAAATCATATTTTCTTGGCGAAAGTGCTGTATCAATTATAAAACAGTTAGTGAGCAAACGAAATATGACATCTCAAATTACATCTTTTATTAGCAAATAGTTGACGTGATTAAACCTTGAAAATGTGCATAAAGTTAATTACCTGAACAAAATCTTCCCTTACGAGATGATCGGAATTCAGTGGAAAAGCAGAGGATAAAAAATCCAATAAGTGACGTTGAACAAGTGTTGACCCACCATCATCTGCTGCTGCGCAAAGAGCTCCTATCTGAAAAATCAATGCATTAAAACAAAATTTTAAGTTCATTCAAGATTTTTTTCCTTAAGAAATGCAAAATACTCATGACTTCAAAGATGAAAATGTGAAAATGAGGATACCATATGATCGATGTTATTTCCCATGATAAACTCCTGATCGTGCATACTTTTTCGACGGTTAAATTTTGCATTTACATACATCAATGCTGGGAGACGAACAGATGGTGAACCAAGGACTGCTTCCCAAAGACATGCAAAATACGCTTCCGAACCAACGCTTTCCTGTACTCGATCCAAAAGCGAAAATGATCTAAATAAACAAAAATACGATATTAAGAAATGAAAGTGAGAGACTTAATTGATTCCAAAACTGATTCACCACTGTAAAAAAGGATTTGCAAAAAATAATTTAACGAACCTATCATAGAACTCCGTTCCTTCCTCGAGACCCAATAAGACACCAGCAATAAAACCAGGAAGTGCTGGTTTCAGTTCAACACCCAGAGGAAGGAAATATTGTTCAAATATATTTAACAATTCTGATTTCACCTTAAATACTTTAAAATAGTCAATTAAAATTTAAAGCTGTCGCAAACGAAGTTAATCATTAATGAAAAACTCAGGGAGAAATAATTTAGGATTTGGAAGTAAGGATGTTAGAATTAAAATTTTCGAATGAATTAACCAAATTGGCTTCAACATGGATAAGATAAATAGCGTATCTGCAAATTATAAAATACAAAAAAAATTGGAACTCATTTAAACTTTTTTTTTTCTAAACATTTAAAATACTTTAAGTATAAGATATAAAAAAGACCTTTATTCCACAGTGATCCATCAGCGGGAAAAGTCCAACAGCAAAAAGATACAGCAAACGTGGAAGATCCTTCCGCCCAAGGATATCGAAGAGCTGTCGATAAGTTTCCAGTGCTTTCAGATGTACACCATGAGGCAGGGCCGGATGCAGGCATTGCGAAAGACGCTTTGCCACAGTCACTGGCTTCGGTATATCACCAAATTTTGCGTTTGCATGAAATACCTGCAGTTTTGTAAACTAATGTGATTATTAAAAAAGATTTTAAAAAGTTAATGGTTCTAGTCACTTGCTTTATATTCGACATCTAATGTATCTCATTACTGTGAATAGAATCTTTTTAAATATGAGAAAATTTCGAGCTAATAAACCGGATAATACCTTGCTTAGACCTAGCCTCTTCCCACACTTGGAAATGAAACTTTTTATCATAGGTTTTCAAGAAGTTCCATATTTAAATATTCTAGGCTTAATATATCAAAAACAGCTAGAAGTAGAAGAGGAACAATACGAAACAAAGGCTAACATAGATACAATTACACTTGACAAAAAGTTGTTCATTACTTGGAAGCACGCCATATTTGACAGATCTAACAGTCATCAGAACGAATCGTTTAAACTCAGTAATGAAAGAAAAGTCACTGAAAATTTGGCTTACCCGGCTAAGTTTTGCGAGAGCTGAGATCAAGTCTGCCCATTCATTGGTAGCTTCAAAAGCTTTCAATGCTTTATCCACTGCCGCGACATAAGCCCGATATTTACTGTTGTTTATCAGTGAAGTTGCTTGGGCTGCATTTGCAGTTGCATCTGTGTAACCCACCAACACTGATGACATCATCTGCAACAAACAACATTCCAGACAATTTTGGAAATTTCAGGTAATTATTTGCTTCAGCTAATTACAAGCAGAAGGGATAAACAATTCTTATATGAATGCACTATTATTAATCTTTATCAACGACCCCAAAACCTTATCATTCAGTTTCGCCACAACGGCTTAATAATTACTATTGCTTCCAAATAGCAATATTTTGTAAACGGAACCGACATTAACGCTTTTTAATTACTGCCTAATTTATCATTTCATTACTACTTCAAAATACTTTGATCATAAAGTTTCCAACAAACAGTCACATTTAGAAAACGTACTACCTTTACAGCAGAGGTTGCTTTTGTTTACATGTTCAGTTTTCAATGCCCCTCTTTTGATAAAAGTTTTGGTTAGCCGTTAAAATACTTTAGATAAGAAAATTATTTACCCTGCTGATTCTTACATAATTATCTGGCAAGTCAAATTATAAAATATCACACCAAGCAATAATTATATAATTCGTTTTCTCTACCAAAAAAAATATAAGAAAATGGACATTTTATCAACAAAAAAAAAAGCAAATCATCTGAAACTAATGAGCCAGAAGTTAAAAATAAAATAAATAAAACACACTAATAAAAGCGTTAAGCAAGTCGGATACGGAAGTCTCAACAACGCTGAAATATGAGGAGAGACAAGGATAGAAACACGACATTGTCATGGGAGATAGGAAAATAACAACATTCTTTAATTGATTTTTGAAGAGATGCAACAAAACAAGAACAATATCAATATCCTCATTGATGTTTCCTTTTTCTTTCAACAATAGCTATTTCCTTTCTTTATAATACAAAGCGGCATACAAAAGACTTTTTCGAGTTGTAATATAACAACTTGATTTTCCTACTAAAGAAAAATACCCGATTGATGTTACAGTATTTTTCATTCTAAGGTAAGCTAAAATACTGACTCTTCCGAATCATTGCATCAACTGAGAACCTTTCGAATTTCCGTATCTTTTTCTCATATACCAACTACATCACGTTGCGATAAATTTACAACGGATATTTGCCCCGGATGGCGAAAAGGAATAAAAAAGTCCCCATATATACACACATGATTTTGAAATGTTCAAAATACTTGATTTTCAAAGGATTGAAGTGAAATCACTATTACTTCGATTATGTAATAATGAGACAAGTAGAAATGATAAGTTTCTGAAGGAAGACAGTAAATTGAAGAACAGAAGATCATGATAGGACTTGCACAGCACGTAATTTTGATCAAAGAAATGAAAAAAAAAAGCTTACCTCCTTTTGAGCCAAAGCTCTTCGACGATACAACGCGAACCTTGACCGTTTGGTTTTTACTTTTGAGGATGGCGGAATGATTCAAATATATACTGAAAATTGAAATATATACAAATATTCAACTTTGAACTAAAATCTTTTTCTTTCCTGAAATCGAATCAATAAACAATATAACACTCATTGTGTAAGTCCATTAATCATAATTATTTTCCTGCTCAAACGACTAATGTTAAATGTTTTATGTCATTCTAATATTATTATATTATAATGAAAAATCAATCTTTATCGTCTCGTCCATTATATTCCTTCCCTCTTTTCATTGCTAATTCACTGAGAACAATCATTTGCATATGCTTTCAAGATTTCTTATCATTTCTTATTCATTCTTACAATGTCTTTTCTTTCTAATTTTATTTTTTTTTTCACATGCACTTCACGACTTCTTCAATTCCTAATCCTTCTTTAAGCTTATTTCATCGCTAAGATAAAAAATAAACATTTTGAAAATTGATGCTGCCAACCTTAATAATTTTTATATCTATTAATTTTGTAGTATACAATTTGTTCACACTTCAAAAAAAAAAAAAATTCCAACATTTTAGTCATCAAAATATGGTTTTCTTAAAATTTAAAAAAGAATGATCGGAGCATTACATAACTAAAAGTTTGTTTAAAACTATTACTAGTTTGTTTGGAAAGTTTGATAAATACCTTCTCGAATTGATAAAATAATCCAAACAAGGCAAAAAAATTAGAATTAGGAAGTCTAGAATTAGAAAGTTACCAGAATGCGATAAATATCTTCCCACCCCTTCCATAATTATCGATTTCAAAAAATTCGTTTCATAACCAAACGAATTATTCCAATTTCGTAAATTTGAAATGAACGTAAGGACGGCAGAGATTCTTTCATGAAATCTTAAATACATGCAATATTCTAATTTTTTTTACGCATTCTCTATTTGACAGCTGCAAATTTTTTTTTTTGCTTACTTTCTTTCACTTAAGCCATTTCAATATTTCAGATGCACAAACGAAATATTTAGAATCTAGAAAAACGTTCAGAATTCTAGAAAATATTTTATCCTAAAAACTTGTAGTAAAGTTCTTTTATAATCAATTGCAAATTAGACGACTGCAAAGAATCAAGAAATCTTCCAAGGCATTGTAAGAAAAAACTACCCATAACACTCACGAAAATGACCCTTCTGCTTAGAAACCTCCTTTTTCATGAACTGTCATATCACAAACCGTTGACGGCCTGTTGAATACATAATCGACCGCGAAACATATGTTATATTGCGTTTTGTAGCATTCATGATTCGTCCATCTGTCTGTTTTTTGTCGTGTGTGCTAATCTCTCTGCATGGTTGTATGTTAATCAATCCTTCTATCAGTCGATCGGTCTATCTGCTTATCCTTTGTCTTTTTTCAAACCACTTATATCACCATCCCGAGAATGATACCATTCCGTTTGTAGCCTTTCTAATTGGTCCATTAGTAAATGGGATTCATTTTGGAAACTCAACTTCGAAATCATTTTGTTGTTTGATTCCCCAAAAATCTTTTTTTTTATGTCATTCAAGAATATTTTGACAGTAAATTAATTGTAATTAGATTTAAAAGAAACAGATAGATGGATCTTTTTTTCCGAGAGTTCACCGTCATTCAATCTTATAATTTAACTAAATGCGGTTTCTCATAGGATCAATTATTTCATTTTGTTGAATTTAATCATTCCCTATCGATCAACACTTTTACCTTAATATTATTCCTAAGCATGAGCCTTTTTTAATTCATATCAAATTTCTATGTTTCAAAATTTACTTCATTTTTTTTTCCTTTTAGTTTCGAAATCTTTTCTAATTAAAAAAATTTCTAATTTTCTTTTAAATGCCGCCATAAATTATGAATGTTTACAAAGAACCATAAATATGTATTAGCTTCTTAATGAAAACAACACTAATTACTTCAAGCTGTAAACATTTATTTAAAAAATTTTAACCGGATGAAAAAAAAGAGGAAGAATATTTCGGAAATTTAGAGAAGTCTAATTTTCGTATAAATAATTCAGAATGAAAAAAGCTTTCATAATATGAATAGTTATTTCATTATTTTTCCTTCTCATTCTGGATATATTCGATTTATATTTCCGGTAATGAAAATTTATTTTGCCACTATGCAATTAATAATTTCCCAGTTTGAATTAGAATTTAAATTAAAATATCATTCGTGATGATGATAAATGATGAGGAAGACGACATTTTAGTTTGAACAAATAACATAGGAAAAATTTTTTGACTTGCTGCATTTCTTCGAAGTTAACGAAGATTATTGACATGTGATGTTGAAATATGACTAATATGTTTAAAGAGGATAAGATCGATTGAGTTGAAAAAAATATAGTCAAAAGGAAAAACAATGATGATTATTGTTTGTTCAAGTAATTTAATATACGATGAACGGAAGAAATTATTAGTTTTGAAATTTGTAAATTGGATAGGAATGGGATAACATTTGTTTTTAATTTTTTCTAATTAGAATTTACTTCTGAGGAAAATTGTTATTATCCAATTTTTTTCATATTAATAAAATTTAATCTGTCATTATTTCATGTTTTTGTTTGAAAAAAATTTACGTGAAAATATGTCGTACAATGGTAATTTAAGGTTTCGTCCTTCCTTTTACAAAACAGTAATAAGCCAGTAATTAGTATTATAGCATAGGTGTAAGAATGAAATTAATTCAAAATTATGATTCATTCAAAGTTAGAAGTTGAAAATAAAATTTTTGGAAGGCTTAAAACTTGTCGAATTATTTTTCTTGCACGAATATTTGCATCCTCTTATTTGTACAAAGTCGTTAGATACAATAAAAAGAAAGAAATGAAATAACCGATCGTGAAATTTAGTTGTGTAAAAGGTGAAAGATGACGATAATTCTAACCGACAACATATCAGTACTGATGAAATTCAACACTCGAATTTCTCAAAGAGTTATGTTGAGGTGTAATGGATACTCGTGAGGTGTTTACATGTTCGAACAAACAATTTTAGTCGTGCAAAAATGTTGTAGTTTTGGAAGAAAAAAAGTCTTAAAATTTCTACTGAAATTTATGTTTTGTCACTGACGTTATTTACTGATGTTTTGTTCGGGAAAAATTTCAAATCTTCAAAAATCAAAAAATTAAAATTTCGAAAATTTAATTACAAGAAAATTCTAATACAGAGTTATTTAAAAAGTATGCTATAGTTGAATTTAGTCCCAACTAATCCTATCAAAAGTGATTGAAATGTCATCTATCTGGTGCTATTCTAATTTTGCTATTTTCAAAACCAGTCTTAGTTAGTATCATTTGACTGTATATTTATCATGAACCAGGAAATCCGATTATCTCATCAATTGGTACAGATTAGATCGATTTAAATAAATTGAAAAATTGTTGAATTTTCAAAAGAATAAAAAATCGTTGAAAATAATTTGAATGAATGTTTCCAAAGAATTTTATTTGAAATAAAGCTAAATCGCCATTTTATGATTTTTAAATGAAATGTGAAATAAGGAAATGCTTGTAAACCATTCATCAATTATTGTTGCAAATAAGTATTTTCAGCAGAAAATTTTAGTGTTAATAGTAGGATTTGAATTTTTCTTTTTAGATCAATATACAATAATTAGTGAATTAATTAATTATCTTCTAGAAGATAAACAAAT